AAAAGGCTACGACGACATATAAAAGGCTACGACGATATATAAAAGGCTACGACGACATATAAAAGGCTACGACGACATATAAAAGGCTACGACGACATATAAAAGGCTACGACGACATATAAAAGGCTACGACGACATATAAAAGGCTACGACGACATATAAAAGGCTACGACGATATATAAAAGGCTACGACGACATATAAAAGGCTACGACGACATATAAAAGGCTACGACGACATATAAAAGGCTACGACGACATATAAAAGGCTACGACGACATATAAAAGGCTACGACGACATATAAAAGGCTACGACGATATATAAAAGGCTACGACGACATATAAAAGGCTACGACGACATAAAAGGCTACGACGACATATAAAAGGCTACGACGACATATAAAAGGCTACGACGACATATAAAAGGCTACGACGACATATAAAAGGCTACGACGACATATAAAAGGCTACGACGACATATAAAAGGCTACGACGATATATAAAAGGCTACGACGACATATAAAAGGCTACGACGACATAAAAGGCTACGACGACATATAAAAGGCTACGACGACAATATAAAAGGCTACGACGACATATAAAAGGCTACGACGACATATAAAAGGCTACGACGATATATAAAAGGCTACGACGACATATAAAAGGCTACGACGACATATAAAAGGCTACGACGACATATAAAAGGCTACGACGACATATAAAAGGCTACGACGACATATAAAAGGCTACGACGACATATAAAAGGCTACGACGATATATAAAAGGCTACGACGACATATAAAAGGCTACGACGACATAAAAGGCTACGACGACATATAAAAGGCTACGACGACATATAAAAGGCTACGACGACATATAAAAGGCTACGACGACATATAAAAGGCTACGACGACATATAAAAGGCTACGATGACATATAAAAGGCTACGACGATATATAAAAGGCTACGACGACATATAAAAGGCTACGACGACATAAAAGGCTACGACGACATATAAAAGGCTACGACGACATATAAAAGGCTACGACGACATATAAAAGGCTACGACGACATATAAAAGGCTACGACGACATATAAAAGGCTACGACGACATATAAAAGGCTACGACGACATATAAAAGGCTACGACGACATATGCCCCATGAGCCCTGATCCCAAAACTCTGGTGAAGATTTGCCCAAATTTGAGCGTGTAATGGAGAGAAAACAAGTTTACTCTAAAAAAGAAACAGAAACAAAATGCCCCTTATGTATATCTCGGCAGAGCCGGACACCCACACCCCTTCTCACTAAACAGTTATAACTACGACCATAAATTTTAAAGGGGGTGGACCGGTACGCCAGCGGAAGGCCTCGGTCAGATGACCATAAGCTCCAACGGCGGGTCATCATCTAAGACCCGCGTCGGGAAACACTTGTCCTGTTTCCTGACGAACCTTACCTAACCTAACCCACACCCCACCACAACAAAGACAACCTTTCCTCAGGCCTACAAGAGTTGACATAGCAAGTTGAGTGTGCCTCACGCTGTCTTTATTAACTGTTACAGTCATGAATGCTCTAAATCCTATATATAGAGCGTCAGTTAGATTCATATTCATAACTGTCATATACTAAATACAGCAATAAAAATATAACCATTGTTATTATTCAGCTTTATTTTAGATCTATAGTGAATGACAGTATAAACTTGATTGATAACTTTCTTTATGTCCTATATTTTACTGTGCATTCCACTTAAGTTTCAGATTCATGTTAAGAAACAGTAAATACATTCCTGTGACCTCTATAAAGGTAGAGCTTCTCCGTAAATATAATTTAATATATTTCCTAAACCTCTTGTATAGCAATAATTCTGACCTAATGGATACGCGCTTTGTGGGCTCCGTAATTTCAGTTTTCAGTATTTCTACCACTAATTTGGAAACGTTTTTGTAGAATACATTATCTGTGAAAAAAAATATAGATTTTTTTATTTCAGATGAGGAAGATAAGGTGGTTGAGGGCGGTGTTTTGGGCGGCGTGGTGGGTGGTGTGGTGGTGACAGCGGTGGTGGTGGGCGGTGGAGTGTGGGCCAGACTCTACTGGACTAAGAAGATCACCGCCAGAAGGAATAAATCTCTTCGTCTTGCTTCCGCTGACGACACCAGACCCATGTTAAATATCGGTGAGTTTCCACTCTTGTTGGAAGGGTCTAACAACCACTGTGTATTAATCTCTTGGAAAGATGTATGAACCTGGAATTTTATTGTTCATAATTATTCTTTGCTGATACTGAATCACTGAGAAGTCTAGCTGGATAAACAAAAACAAATGTAGTATAATGAGATCTTTTACTGACTACGTTTCACCCACACAGTGAGCTTTATCAAGTCACCTGGGTAAAGAGTAGTTGAGTATAGTGTGGAGTCGGGTGCACGGGACGTGCAGGTTCCTCACAAGTACAACCAACCAACATTCTCCACTTGACTCACCACACTACATATATACTCATGTACTCTTTACCCAGGTAGATCTGTTTATGACTTGATAAAACCCACTGTGTGGGCGAAACTTTGTTAATAAACGATCGCATTATACTGTATTTGTGTTTGTTTTTCCACCGTGTCGGTATTTTATAACATTTATCTGCAGTGTTACCCTCGAGGAATAAGACAAAACCAACACAGTTGCCAAAGTAACGGTTGCTGATTATTTATTAATTCTAAAATGCCTGCAAGTAAACATGACTACTGAGTATTTTAATCAAATTTATTGCTAACAGTATGTTGATAGGGAAGCTAGTAGAATGATTCCATTTAAATTCAACAATAGCCTCCGGTTATTATCTTTGGCAAACCAGAAAAGGCGTCTTTCACTACTTCGTCCGGTCTTCTGTCACCCATGACGACTCCTACAGCACCAACATTGTTCATGAGATAATGTTTTCCCGCAAAGTGAAGGACAAAGTCCTCAAAGATAAGCTCTGGGTAATCCCACTATACACTGAGACAATAAGTTTTAGATCTTTGTAAATAAAGTTTTTATTTGACCAGGTTTCCTTGTCAGTGTTTTGTTTACCATCATAGTTATTTTCATTATGACAGTGTAAGAGTCATATCAGTCAGAGGTGTGTATACTGATTTTGTGCGTGGCTTTATTTCTTGTACCATCATGCGGATAATCTTCGTGTTGAAACACTTAACTTTGGCGTAGATGGTTATGTGGCAACACTATTCAAGAAGTGAGAATTATTAGATTTTGATGTTTCCATGCGGATTCGTTAATGTACTGAAACCTTTAGAGGAGGAACACTTTTCACGAAGTTTTCTGGCATTTCGTGATATTGTGGGATATTATGGTATGATACCGGAATACTAGCATTTTCCTTTATGAGTCTCAAGTGTAGCATTGTGTTGACTGGCATCAGTCTGTGTGATACCTACGTCATTAATAAGGGCAAGGAGTGAGCTCATTTTATCCGACTGGGTGAAACAAATATTTGATTCGAAATTACCTGCAATGGCTTACACTAGCCTCGTATATGATGAACATATACCACAGTAGTGGCGATGCAGCCACTACTGCTGATGTTTTCAATATCAAAATTTTAATCTTAGCAGCAGCAACAGATACCAAGGTCGTAGAATTATTCAGTGATGTGTGTTACTTCTGTAAAGTAACACCAATTCGTATTTGCAGTGGTGTTGGAAAATTTGTGGTTGCATGATATTCTCAATTATAATTGAAGTCAGTGTGTACCTGACATTGAAAATGAGAGGAGTGTTATACTGACAGCATCAATACGGGTCTCTTTCTAAGCGGATGGTGTAGTGTAATTATAATTTATACGTAATGACTACCAAATCTTTACATTCTGGCAGGACTTTGTTTACAGTCATTCTTGACTGTGAGATCATCATCGCTATCCTCAAGAAATATGAAAACACTAGTCACTGTATCAAGGAAAATCGAAAGATCGGATAGGTCTAGAGCAGAGAAATATAAATTTGTCATGGAATTGTTTCTCAGGTTTTATAAGGCATTTTTGCGACATTCTTGACCACCATGTGATGAATAATATTCATGCACCTCACTTGAAGTCTAAATGTTTGATCTATCACTCCAGATTTCTTTAAAAACTTATCACATGCTGAACCATTGATATACTTGGCGTTACTTTCATTAACTCGTTTTATTCTTGCAGCCATGACTCTGGACAACAGTCATGGTAACGGGTAATTACTGTATGCAAATCACTGACAACACTTACCTCACCTTGGTTTGTCCACTCAACCTTTCCTTCATTACAAACTTTAGGAATCGAGTATTTGAAGGACAACGTTGCTGGGCTGGCACTTCGACATAGACATGTTCTTTGTCACCTGGAATTCAAGTGAGCAAATATCATCATAGAATAGACAATTTATAGTGAAATAATCTAGTCTCGGAACGGACTGGTTTTCTTAGTGCTGAAGATTCACTTTTTTTTTTTTACTCATCGGGTCTGGTGCTGTTTGTTTTGATGTACATGAACAGTTTTTGCGGTATTTGATGGCAAAGATTACATTTTCATCCAAGTATTTTTGTAGTTTCACATGAATATTACTTCCTGGGTATTGAGTGGCAGCAATAATGAAGGTGATGTCAGATGATGCAGATATTCTGATAGATTACTTCACTCCAAGAACCTCACTCAAGTTATCATTCGCTTTTTTTTCCTAAAAACAACAAAAAACTGACGTCATTATTTTCTAAGGAAAATAAAAACAATTTGCAGTGTTTTATATCTACATTTGCTTAATTCATGAAAAGACTTATTGTATAGGAATGTTAATATTTTTATTAAAATAAAGTACCAAGATTTAAAACCAAACGTGTCATCTCACTTCCTGGATAATAAGCGGACTTAAACTAGTAGCCATCTTGCATTCTCATATATTGACTCGTCCAGTCATGATTAGAGCATAAAAATGATCTCTTTGACCTGAAAAATAAAAATACGAAATTAACGAAAAATCGTCAACATTCGTGCTGTTGTGTTGACATTCACAAGTGATAGGAGCAACTTGGCAGCCATCTTGGATTTTTCAAGTTCATTTGCTGTATAACCCGAATGCGTTTAGCTCTTAGTTATGATAATAATAATAATAATAATAATAATCAAATTCGCCAAGAAAGAGCGACAGCCAGTGAATTATCATTACAGAAGCTAAAAGCAAACTGAAATTTTGCTGAAAACTTTGGTGCACCACTGAATTTCAGGTTCAGCAAAAAATAGGGTTTGGTAATCATATTGTAAACAAGGACACAAGTATGCAGACCTTTTTGCACAGTGTTTCGTTGTACGTAGAGGTTTTTCACGTCAAAACACGGATGAAAAAAAACAGCGAAATGTATCAATTTTTTTTATACTTTCGTGTATGTTGAGTATTATCTGTCAGTACACCTGTGATCACTACACCTGTATCATTGCACCTGTGAGTGTACACACACAACTGCCACAAATACTGAAGTAAGAGTAGCTCTCACAGTATTTCTTATGTGTTGAAATTATATTAAATTGTGAAAAATTGCTATTAGAACACAGAATAAAAGGTTGTTGCCTTGCCCGCCAGGAGCATCTTGTGAGAGGTCGACCAGGAGAGCATCGCCATCACGAGACTTCTACAACAATGGTGAAATTCATGTTATTCTTATTTATATTAGAACTTTATTGATTTTGTCTCATCTCTTCCATTATTACGAAGACAGGTGTAGTCTTGTGGCCTGTACACCTGCTAGTAGCACGATAACCAAGGTAGGAATGAGGAACGAGCAAACGTCAGCAGTTGTGTATCTTTATATGTGTATGCTTCTAGACTGTTGTATTCTGAGCACCTCTGCAAAAACAGTGATAATGTGCGAGTGTGGTGAAAGTGTTGAATGATGATGAAAGTATTTTCTTTTTGGGGATTTTCTTTCTTTTTTTTGGGTCACCCTGCCTCGGTGGGAGACGGCCGACTTGTTGAAAAAAAAAAAAAAAAAAAAAAAAAAAATATATATATATAATATATATATATAATATATATATATATATATATATATATATATATATATATATATATATATTACTTGAAAACAGCATGCAAGTATATGTACAATGTATGTACTTTAAGTACAAAGCAAGTTTGCATGCAAGAGACAGTGAGATGTGTGGGCGACCAGACCTGAGGTAAGTAGCCAGTGTTGCTCCGTGAGTCTCCAACATGGTTTCACAACCTGGGCGAGCTTCCTTGTGATTGGCTGTTTTAAACCAGGGTGCTAGCATAACAAGGGCACCCAACTTGTTATACTCTTAGTAGTTAGTTCGCTGGTAAGAGTATAAACATGATGCCTATATGGGTGTGACATAAGCCGAATAAAATATAATGTACTCTTAGCATGCCATATCCATCAAAGGGACTTCCTTGATGACGGTAAAGGTCTTTTGATAAAAGGAATTTCATCATTATCTCCCTTGGATCAAACCTGATTACCTCACATTACCCAAGCGTTGTAGGACTTGTACTGGTTTGGCGCTTCTCCGTTGTAATATTAACATATCAGATACTAGGGAATGGTCTGATATTTATCTCTTCAGTCCTTAGTTATTATTATTCATTTGGAAGAACTAAACTTGTAAGAGTCAATCATTGTCTATAGAATGTGGAGTGATCGGGTGTTTGATCTAACGGAACAATAGCTCCAATTCTTGATCAAGAACGCTTGAGTAATCAAGGTCTCCGTCTCTACTTGACAAGTGTGATGGTAGTATGACTGGTAGCAAGAGTCACATATCTAAAAAAAGATTCTCAGTCGATCATTTAGGAAGCCTAGTGAGTGACGTGGAGAGTCAGGTGGAAAACGTTGCGAAGGCTGGATATGAGAAGGAAGGTCCTGCACAACATTCTCCATCTGACTCTTCATGTTACTATGCTCCATATATATACTCATCTTCTCTCTGCTTAGGTAGGGATTAAATCTTAATGGTTATTATATAATAAACTTAATTTTTAAAGGGGTGGACCGGTAAGCCAGCTGAAGGCATCGGTCAGATGACCAAAACCTCCAGCTACGGGTCATCATATGGCTAAGACCCGAGCCAGGAAACACTTTTCCTGTTTCCTGGCGAACCTTAAATAATCTGCTCATGTAGATCTATTGATGACTTGATAAAGTTCACTGTCTGGGCGAAACGTAGTCAATAAAGGATCGCATTATACTGTCTTTTTGTCCATTTTTACATCGTGTTGGCATTTTATGCCGTTTAACTCCACTGAATAGTGTTGTTCCAGTCAGGGTATTGCACGTGTTCAAGGTAGCGTTGTATGTTGCAGAAGAGACGATGTACCAGGCCGTGCCTGGAGAGTGTGAGGACGCGGGCAGCCTCGTGCCTTCTGACGAAGACCCTGATGATGAAGAAGACCTAACAAAGTCCTCGTACCCTCACGCCAGAGGTGATGGCGGCAGTGAAGGTGATGGCATAGCTACCGTAGAGGAGATCTTCAAGGTGGTGGTCAACCCACATCGTCAGAGTGCTACAATAGTGGGTACTGGTATCTTTCTTAACACTCATTCTTTCTCTCTATGATCACCTATATGATATATATATATATATATATTATATATATATATAATATATATATATAATATATATATATATATATATATATATATATTACAAACACTGATCTCTGCGCTGAAGGAGACTCGAACCTACGAACCTTGGACAAGGTACGCAGTGCTTTACCAATCTACCCACACTGGACAATACCTTGGCGTTTATTAGCGTACACGTTGATCCAAGGACAGCCAGCTTTCAGGGGAAGGCTTACAGCTTTTCATTCATCCCCTGCATGCATCAGCCTTCCTAGAGATATTAACAACGCAAGGAATTCGCAAGAGCAGGAATTCGCAAGGCTGATGCATGCAGGGGATGAGATGAAAAGCTGTAAGCCTTCTCCCTGAAAGCTGGCTGCCCTGGATCAAACGTGTAGCGCTAGCTACACGCCAAGGTATTGTCCAGTGTGGGTAGATTGGTAAAGCACTGCGTACCTTGTCCCAAGGTTCGTAGGTTCGAGTCTCCTTCAGCCAGAGATCAGTGTTTGTGTATATTTCGCCTGCTCTTGCGAATTCCTTGCATATATATTATTTTTTCTTTCAACAAGTCGGCCGTCTCCCACCGAGGCAGGGTGACCCAAAAAAGAAAGAAAATCCCCAAAAAGAAAATGCTTTCATCATCATTCAACACTTTCACCACACTCACACATAATCACTGTTTTTGCAGAGATGCTCAGAACACAACAGTTTAGAAGCATATACGTATAAAGATACACAACATATCCTTCCAAACTGCTAATATCCCAAAACCCCTCCTTTAGAGTGCAGGCATTGTACTTCCCACTTCCAGGACTCAAGTCCGGCTATATAAAAATAACCGGTTTCCCTGAATCCCTTCACTAAATATTACCCTGCTCACACTCCAACAGATCGTCAGGTCCCAAATACCATTCGTCTCCATTCACCAACATTCATCCACCAAGGCAGGGTGGCCCGAAAAAGAAAAACTTTCACCATCATTCACTCCATCACTGTCTTGCCAGAAGGGTGCTTTACACTACAGTTTTTAAACTGCAACATTAACACCCCTCCTTCAGAGTGCAGGCACTGTACTTCCCATCTCCAGGACTCAAGTCCGGCCTGCCGGTTTCCCTGAACCCCTTCATAAATGTTACTTTGCTCACACTCCAACAGCACATCAAGTATTAAAAACCATTTGTCTCCTATCAAACTCCTATCACTCCTATCAAACACGCTCACGCATGCCTGCTGGAAGTCCAAGCCCCTCGCACACAAAACCTCCTTTACCCCGTCCCTCCAACCTTTCCTAGGCCGACCCCTACCCCGCCTTCCTTCCACTACAGACTGATACACTCTTGAAGTCATTCTGTTTCGCTCCATTCTCTCTACATGTCCGAACCACCTCAACAACCCTTCCTCGGCCCTCTGGACAACAGTTTTGGTAATCCCGCACCTCCTCCTAACTTCCAAACTACGAATTCTCTGCATTAATATTCACACCACACATTGCCCTCAGACATGACATCTCCACTGCCTCCAGCCTTCTCCTCGCTGCAACATTCATCACCCATGCTTCACACCCATATAAGAGCGTTGGTAAAACTATACTCTCATACATTCCCCTCTTTGCCTCCAAGGACAAAGTTCTTTGTCTCCACAGACTCCTAAGTGCACCGCTCACCCTTTTCTCCCCTCACCAATTCTATGATTCACTTCATCTTTCATAGACCCATCCGCTGACACGTCCACTCCCAAATATCTGAATACATCACCTCCTCCATACTCTCTCTCCCTCCAATCTGATATCCAATCTTTCATCACCTAATCTTTTTTGTTATCCTCATAACCTTACTCTTTCCTGTATTCACTTTTAATTTTCTTCTTTTGCATACCCTACCAAATTCATCCACCAACCTCTGCAACTTCTCTTCAGAATCTCCCAAGAGCACAGTGTCATCAGCAAAGAGCAACTGTGACAACTCCCACTTTATGTGTGATTATTTATCTTTTAACTCCACGCCTCTTGTCAAGACCCTCGCATTTACTTCTCTTACAACCCCATCTATAAATATATTAAACAACCACGGTGACATCACACATCCTTGTCTAAGGCCTACTTTTACTGGGATATAATCTCCCTCTTTCCTACATACTCTAACTTGAGCCTCACTATCCTCGTAAAAACTCTTCACTGCTTTCAGTAACCTACCTCCTACACCATACACCTGCAACATCTGCCACATTGTCCCCCTATCCACCCTCTCATACGCCTTTTCCAAATCCATAAATGCCACAAAAACCTCTTTAGCCTTATCTAATACTGTTCACTTATATGTTTTCACTGTAAACACCTGGTCCACACACCCCCTACCTTTCCTAAAGCCTCCTTGTTCATCTGCTATCCTATTCTCCGTCTTACTCTTAATTCTTTCAATAATAACTCTACCATACACTTTACCAGGTATACTCAACAGACTTATCCCCCTATAATTTTTGCACTCACTTTTATCCCCTTTGCCTTTATACAAAGGAACTATGCATGCTCTCTGCCAATCCCTAGGTACCTTACCCTCTTCCATACATTTATTAAATAATTGCACCAACCACTCCAAAACTATATCCCCACCTGCTTTTAACATTTCTATCTTTATCCCATCAATCCCGGCTGCCTTACCCCCTTCATTTTACCTACTGCCTCACGAACTCCCCCACACTCACAACTGGCTCTTCCTCACTCCTACAGATGTTATTCCTCCTTGTCCTATACACGAAATCACAGCTTCCCTATCTTCATCAACATTTAACAATTCCTCAAAATATTCCCTCCATCTTCCCAATACCTCTAACTCTCCATTTAATAACTCTCCTCTCCTATTTTTAACTGACAAATCCATTTGTTCTCTAGGCTTTCTTAACTTGTTAATCTCACTCCAAAACTTTTTCTTATTTTCAACGAAATTGTTGATAACATCTCACCCACTCTCTCATTTGCTCTCTTTTTACATTGCCTTCACCACTCTCTTAACCTCTCTCTCTCCTCTCTCTCTCACTCCTTCTCTCTCTCTCTCTCTCTCTCTCTCCCTCTCCCTCTCGTCTCTCTCTCTCTCTCTCTGCTCTCTCTCTCTACTCTCTCTCTCTCTCTCTCTCTCTCTCTCTCTCTCTCTCTATATATAAATTTATATATAATATTTTTATATATATATATATATATATATAATATATATTATATATAATATATATATAATATGATGAGTGGATCCTTTGTTTACTTTCCTGTTTATCTCTGCGGTATGAATGTAAATTGTAAGTGTTAACTGTCACTTATTTATTCTAATCATAATTATCCTATTATTATCTTATATCTAGGAGTTTTATATGTAAGTGAAGGGCTAAACCCGTGTGGGGCTTTCAGCACAAATTGTTAAATAGACTATCCATTCTCGCAGTCAGTCGGGTGAGGGAAGACTCTCTTTATATCTTACAACATTAACATGTATGAAATTACCTACCTATTCCTAATTGTGTATTTGCGCGCGCGCACTTTATATACTACTGCACAATATAACTAATAAACACATTTTAGGGGTATCAGGATAATACTGTTATTGACAGAAAAAGCTGGAGCGTGGAGAGTGTCCGTCGTCAGAGAAGACTGAAGCAGCAGCTAAGGAGGCTGATAACTACCTGGGAGAGTGGCTGCAACTCTTCCCTAAGGAGAGTGAGGACAAGCTGGCCAGGAAGCTACAACACGTCTCCAAGAAGGACGATGAGTACATCGGTGAGTGGCTGCAACACCTCCCACAAGATGCCCACGATTACCCTGGTGGCTGGGTCATCAACTCCTCCCGCCAGGATGACAACTTCCCCGCCGCCAACCTTCATCTGTTTCCCAAGACAGTGGAAGAACCCCCAGGTGGGTGGATGAAGAAGTCTCCGAAGGAGGAGCGGAATCTTGCGTCTGAAGAGAAGCAGAGGTTACATACTAGTGTAAGTGAGAGTGGTGGAGGGTGGCAGGAACGTTCCCCGCAAGGCGCTGAAGGTTATCCTGCTGGCGCGCTCAAACGCCCTCAGAAATTAGCAGAAAGTTACGAGGATTGGAGGCTCAAGTACGCTCCCGACCATGCAGAACACTTTAAATTTAACACATTGCAAAGTTCCTCCAGAGCACTTGAGAACCAGAGAAGTGATTCACCGCCGAGGCTACACAGAGACCCAACACACCACCGGGGGTGGACACTGCCGCGTCCCCCAAAATCTGGAGACAATTTTCTCTTCCAGGCTGCCCAGAATGCAGCCAGTGCGAGAGAGAGCTACCCTGGTAGACTGCTCCATCGAAGTACGGAGGCTCGACGAGATCCTATACGCAGGAGGCCGAGGGTTACCTCGTCAGGTACAGATGAAGGCGGTACCCTGAGGAGGATGCGCAGGAGGTCTGGGCAAGAAGTGGATCTAGAGAGTGATGAACTCCCTTGCTCCGTCCACCAGCTACTGTTCGCTGAGGAGACTATTCTCTGATACACTTCTTGGTGAGCCATTTGTCACTGTACACTCTGTGTAGGTAGACACTCATCGCTGTACACTCCACACAGACACTCATCACTACACTCCACACAGATACTCATCACTACACTCCACACAGATACTCACCACTACACTCCACACAGATACTCATCACTACACTCCACACAGATACTCACCACTACACTCCACACAGATACTCATCACTACACTCCACACAGACACTCATCACTACACTCCACACAGATACTCATCACTACACTCCACACAGATACTCACCACTACACTCCACACAGATACTCATCACTACACTCCACACAGACACTCATCACTACACTCCACACAGTTAGACACTCATTACTGTACACTCTATTCAGAATAAATATTCAAACTGATATTTCACACTTTGGTTACGTGGGATCGAATCCGAGTTATCCAGGTGACATTTACACACCTGTACCCCTATACTACTGTGATACATTCCTACCCCTGTACCACTATGATACATTCCCAAACTTGTACCCCTGCACCACTATGGTACATTCCCACACCTGCACCCCTGTACTACTATGGTACATCCCACACCCGCACCCCTGTACAAATATGGTACATTTCCCACACCTGCAAACCCCCGTACTACTATGGTACATTCCCACACCTGCACCCCTGTACTACTATGGTACATTCCCACACCTGCACCCCTGTACTACTATGGTACATTCCCACACCTGCACCCCTGTACTACTATGGTACATTCCCACACCTGCACCCCTGTACCACTATGGTACATTCCCACACCTGCACCCCTGTACTACTATGGTACATTCCCACACCTGCACCCCTGTACTACTATGGTACATTTCCCCCACCTGCACCCCTGTACTACTAGGTACATTCCCACACCTGCACCCTGTATACTAAAGGTAAAATTCCCACACCTGCACCCCTGTACTACTATGGTACATTCCCACACCTGCACCCCTGTACCACTATGGTACATTCCCACACCTGCACCCCTGTACCACTATGGTACATTCCCACACCCGCACCCCTGTTTCTACTATGGTACATTCCCACAACCCGCACCCCTGCACCACTATGGTACATTCCCACACCTGCACCCCTGTACTACTATGGTACATTCCCACACCTGCACCCCTGTACCACTATGGTACTTCCCACACCTGCACCCCTGCACCCCCTATGGTACATTCCCACACCTGCACCCCTGCCCATATGGTACATTCCCACCACCTGCACCCCTGTACTACTATGGTACATTCCCACACCTGCACCCCTGCACCACTATGGTACATTCCCACACCTGCACCCCTGTACCACTATGGTACATTCCCACACCTGCACCCCTGTACTACTATGGTACATTCCCACACCTGCACCCCTGTACTACTATGGTACATTCCCACACCTGCACCCCTGCACCACTATGGTACATTCCCACACCTGCACCCCTGTACTACTATGGTACATTCCCACACCTGCACCCCTGTACCACTATGGTACATTCCCACCTGCACCCCCGCACCACTATGGTACATTCCCACACCTGGGACCCCTGTACCACTATGGTAATTCCCCCAACCGCACCCCTGTACCACTATGACATTCCACACCTGCACCCCTGTACTACTATGGTACATTCCCACACCTGTACCACAGTACTACTATGGTACATTCCCACACCTGCACCCCTGTACTACTATGGTACATTCCCACACCTGTACCACAGTACTACTATGGTACATTCCCACACCTGTACCACAGTACCACTATGGTACATTCCCACACCTGCACCCCTGTACTACTATGGTACATTCCCACACCTGCACCCTGTTATACTATGGTACATTCCCACACCTGCACCCCTGTACTACTATGGTACATTCCCACACCTGCACCCCTGTACCACTATGGTACATTCCCACACCTGCACCCCTGTACTACTATGGTACATTCCCACACCTGCACCCTGTACCACCTATGGACATTTCCCCCACCTGTTACCACAGTACCACTATGGTACATTCCCACACCTGTACCACAGTACTACTATGGTACATTCCCACACCTGTACCACAGTACTACTATGGTACATTTCCCCCACCTGTACCCAGTACCACTATGGTACATTCCCACACCTGTACCACAGTACTACTATGGTACATTCCCACACCTGTACCACAGTACCACTATGGTACATTCCCACACCTGTACCACAGTACTACTATGGTACATTCCCACACCTGTACCACAGTACTACTATGGTACATTCCCACACCTGTACCACAGTACCACTATGGACATTCCCAACCTGTACCACAGTACTACTATGGTACATTCCCACACCTGTACCACAGTACCACTATGGTACATTCCCACACCTGTACCACAGTACTACTATGGTACATTCCCACACCTGTACCACAGTACTACTATGGTACATTCCCACACCTGTACCACAGTACTACTATGGTACATTCCCACACCTGCACCCCTGTACCACTATGGTACATTCCCACACCTGTACCACAGTACCACTATGGTACATTCCCACACCTGTACCACAGTACTACTATGGTACATTCCCACACCTGCTCCCCTGTACCACTATGGTACATTCCCACACCTGTACCACAGTACTACTATGGCACATTCCCACACCTGTACCACAGTACTACTATGGTACATTCCCACACCTGCTCCCCTGTACTACTATGGTACATTCCCACACCTGCACCCCTGTACCACTATGGTACATTCCCACACCTGTACCACAGTACTACTATGGTACATTCCCACACCTGCACCCCTGTACTACTATGGTACATTTCCCACACCCTGCCCCCCCTTACCACTATGGACAT